CACTTGGAAACTTTATCGTTCTCATAAACTACGTCATTTACAGATATCATCTTTCGTTCAAGTTGATATCGTCGTCGTCGTCCTCGTCCTCGTCTTCGTTGTTTGTCGTCTTTGAAAACTTTCATCATTTAATTTTCTTTTCAAAAATTATATTGGAAAAATTTATGTTTTTTAAATTTAGTCACAAACAGCAAAAACTTTTTATTTTATCATAAATAAACATTATTTGTAAAACTATATTATAAAACCAAAATTATTTACAAAATACTTTTGAAAACATCGACTTTTTTAAAAAAAAATTTTCAAAACTTTTATTTACTTATTATTTATTTACTCCAACTTGGAATTGTGTAAAATGTTGAAAATTTTAACCAAAATGTCTCACTTTCTATTATTATAATAAGGGTTTGAAAATTTTTCACAATGGAACAATTTCTTAAAATTTTATAAGATCAAAAAAAAAATTGCTTTTAAAAATTAAATTATTCATATTTAAATTTCAAATCTTTTTTTCTCCATTTTATATCATTGAAAAAGATTCTAAAAATTTTTGACTACATTTTTAAAATATAGAATTGAAGGAACACTTTTTCAAAATTTTAAAGAAAATCGATGCTAAAAATTAAATTATTCAAATTCAAATTTCAACCCAAATGTCACGTTATTCCCAGTGTTGCAAAATATTCCGAAAATTTTTACCACGATTGGTGTATACATAATGAAGCGGAATTCTTAAAAAAAAAAAAAAAAAAAAAAAAATTGAAAAAATTTATTTAAAAAAAAATCTATTGTAAAAATTGAATTATTCAGATGTAAATTTCTATCTAAATATATCTCGTTTTCTAGCATTGTGCAAAGATATTCAAATTTTTTTTATGACAACCCAAAGTATACTTGAAAAAAGATTTTGTCAAAAATTTTGTAGAAAATTTGAAAAAAAACTGAATCTTAAAATTAAGTTATTCTGATACAAATTTCAGCTTAAATATTATATATTTTATTATTTTTAAATATTGTGAATTTGAAACTTTTACTAATATTTGAAGAATATTTAAAGGAATATTTTTTTTTCTCAAATTTTTGAAGAAAAAACGTTTTAACTAACTTTTTAATTGAATGAGGATTGAAGCTATAGAAATGTAGTTATTAGAGTGGTTTAAATTTTAGCCTTACAGGAAAAACAAATATTTACCTAGAACTTCGAAAGGTTTCACTAAAATAGCAAAACTTTTTAATTCTTTCAATTAAATTTTTCTCTATTCTAGTGAAAACCTTTCGCTGTTTTAGATAAAATTTTTTGTATTTGAGGAAACATTTTCTTCAAAATTTGAAGGAAATTTAAAGAAAATCATATCTTGAAATTCAGTTATTAACGGTTCAAATTTCAACCTAAATATCTCGTTTTCTAGCAGTGATGAAATTATTAAAATTCTTACCATATTTTATATAAAAAGGAACATTTTTTCGAAAATTTGAAGAAATTTTTTTTTTAGAATTTCGTAAGATTTAGTTTTTTTTAGGTTTAGTTCAGGAAACAAATTTCTCTTGAAGAAAATCTCAATCTTTTGAAAGTTAAATTATTATTTATCGTTTTTTAAATTTTAATCCAAATATCTCCTGCTTCAGAATTGCGAAAGGTTTTTATGAAATTTTCATCACATTTGAACTGTACTTGAAGAAACATTTCACCAGAAATTTTTGGAAGAAAATCAATTCTACATTAGGTAAAAAATTTTCTGGACTTAATGGCAACCAGAGTTGGGGGTAAAATTTTTGAAGTTAAAAAATCAAATGCAAAAGTTAATTATAACATTAGATTAACTCTTTTAGCATTAACTCCTCAGGCATAAAATTAACTCCCTTATAGCATCAACTCCAAAAGGATGGGGACTTTTATAGAGTCCCGTTGGGAGTTATAATTTAACTTCCTCTTTTTAACTGAGTGTAAAAAAATTGATATTGAAATTCTCAAGTTGGTTGTACAATATAAAAATTGTTACGAAAAATTTTGTCTCAAAATAATAGTGATTCAAATTTTTCTAGATTTTATAATTTTTATCGCATCTTCCTTAAAAAATTTTGAAGAAGATTTAAAGAATATTTTTTCAGAAACAATAACTGAAGAAGGTCCTTAAAGAAGCATTAGTTTCCGTGAGATTTGTAAGAGTACTATTAGAATGCTTTTATCAACTTGAAAGTTACTAAAATGTTTCAATTGGCTTTTTTCCCCGTCTTTTTTTTTTTAATCTATCATCTTAAAAATTCTTATGCATCTTTTAAGATGATATATTCTAGGTGGAAAAAATATCGATAATTTTCGCCGAGTGACCATCGATAGTCAAATTATTGAAAAAAAATGTGATAATTTTTCTATGAGCGACTACTGAAAAATGAGGAAGAAAAATTTATTTTTTCGACATGATTTTTGTAATCATATGACTTATTATATTGTTAATTGTTTATTGTTATTTATTTATTGTTTAAAATAATAATACCCGTTTACTTGTTAAAAAATAATTATTTAATATTATTATTATTGTTATTATAAAATTGTTACGTATTATTAAATTTATTAATAACTAAAAAAAGGTTACTACTGAAAAAATTTGAGTATCAACATTTGAAATTTTAAATTTAAAAATAAACACGAATTTTGTACTCTCTAAATCTGAATTAGTAAAAATGTTTACTAATTTGAATTAGTGACTCACTTTTTGCTTCTGAATTAGTAAAATTTTACTAACAATTAGTAAAATTTAACTAATTCAGAAGCAAAAAGTGAGTCACTAATTCAGATTTAGAGAGTAGGTACTCTTCATCCAGAAAAAAGATTTCTTTGATTTAAAGGAAACAATTTCTTTGATTTGTTTTCTTTTATTTAAAATAAAATTTTCTTTGAAAATATGGTCAAAGAAAAATTTGTTTAAATTAAATAAAAAATTTCTTTGAAATGAAGATAATTTTTTTTTCATAAAAAATAATTTGTTTGAAAAAAATAAATTTTTTTTGGTAACATAGAAAAATTTGCCAAAGAAATTGATTTCTTTAAATCAAAGAAATCTTTTTCTATGTATCTAAATCTGAATTAGTCACTTTTGACTGACTCAACTACGCGGATTCATTGAGTAAATGAATTAGTAACCGTTTTGACTAATTTTTAGTCAAAAATTACTCATTTTTAGTAGAAAATAACGATTTTTTAATCAAAAATGACTGACTGTTATTTAAAAAAACTACTAATTAATTTAGTAGGGTTACTATTTCAATTAGTAAACTTTAGTAAATGACTTAGTAGTTTTTTACTATAAATTAGTCATTTTTGACTAAAAACTAGTCATTATTAGTAGAATTTTAGTAGAAAATTACTAATTTACAGTCAAAAATTACTGATTGTTAGTAGAAAACTACTGATTTATTTAGTAAACCTACTAATTTCAATTAGGTAAACTTTAATAAACAAATTAGTAATTTTCTACTATTAATTAGTAATTTTTGACTAAAAATTAGTCAATAGTAGAATTTTAATAGAAAATTACTAATTCTTAGTCAAAAATAACTGATTGTCATTAAAAAAATTACTAATTTGTTTATTAAAGTTTACTAATTTGAAATTAGTAGCCTTATTAAATAAATTAGTAGTTTTCTACTAACAATCAGTCATTGTTGATTACAAATTAGTCATTTTCTACTAAAATTCTACTAATCACTTATTTTTAGTCAAAAATGACTAATTTTTAGTTAAAAAATGACTAATTTTTAGTTAAAAAATGACTAATTGATAGTAAAAAAAACTACTAATTCATTTACTAGAGTTTACTATCTGAAATAGTAGCCTTACTAAATAAATTAATAGTTTTCATTAACTATCAGTCATTTTTGACTATAGATTAGTCATTTTCTACTAAAAATTAGTAATTTTTGACTATAGATTAGTCATTTTCTACTAATAATTAGTAATTTTTGACTATAGATTAGTCATTTTCTACTAAAAATTAGTAATTTTTGACTATAAATTAGTCATTTTCTACTAAAAATTAGTGATTTTTGACTAAAAATTAGTCAAAACTGTTACTAATTCATTAACTGAACGTATCGGCGCAGTTTAGTTAGTCAAAAGTGACTAATTCAGATTTAGATATAGTAATAATAAATATCGATAATCACTCGGCGAAAATTATCGTTAATTTTTTCACCTAAGAATTCGATAGTTTGTCTTCAACTTTTTAATTTCCAAAAAAACATTTTTGTAGCTTTTTTTTTTTTTTTAATAAGTTGGTTAATTTTCACTATATGTAGAACTATATATATACATGCATATTACACTTTATGAATGGCACAAATATAGCCCTTCATCTTTCGTCTCAGGAAATCGTTAATCCCCTCATTGAAATTTGTCAGTATATAGGAAATCTTGAGCGGAAGATGTATTGCAGCTGTATTTTCCAAGTGAGTTTTGTACAATATATATATATGTATATAGTTCACCCGGTATCTTCGTTTTTAAGGAGAGACTTTTGGTAAATCGCAAGAGTGATTCATGGGTTATATACGAGTGCTTGAGATACTTGCAAAGCAGTAGTAAAGAAATTTTTTCGAGTGGAGTTTGCAGAACACCTCACGAAAAGGAGTCTTTGGTTGTTTGCTCACACTCTTCTTTTTTTTTCTTCTTCTTCTTCTTATTCTTTTTATTCCCCTCTTTTTTTCGATCGACAGATCCGGATAAACGTCTCCCCACTTTGAATAAAGAGAAAACCGATTCAAGTGCTTGATATATATGCATTATACAATACCCTCAAGTGCCCACACAGCTGACCCGGCGAGAGAAAGAAAGAGAGAGATTTGTTTTAATAACCTCTTTTCCTAAATCCACTGGTTTTGAAAAAAAACTTTTAGTAATGATTTTTTCACTTTTAATTATAATTAAAAAAAAAATCACAAATCACTTTTTTTGGAAAAAAATAAAAACACAATTCACAGATTTTTTTTTTTTAATCGCTTACCAGATATGCCCAAAAGTATCCAGAAAACGAGGCACAGAACGTAGTAGTTGATAAAAGAGGATGTCCTCATGGTGAGAAGGTCGACCACGACGACGTGTTGGACAAGGATGACATTTCAATATAGATATATATGTATATTGTTAAATCACACCCTTTCTTTAATTTTTTTCATAATTATTTCCTTTTATTTATATAATAATTTTGTAGGTTACTTTTATTTCTCTCGTTTTTTTTTTTTTGTTGGACGGGACCTCGTGCATCCCGGAACATGTGCTCGCGATCACGTTCCGGCTTCTTAACCGGTCACATAATCGCGACTTGTTTTTTTTCTTCTTCTCTTGTTTCTCTTCAGTATTTTGTCTATCCTTTTTTTTTTATTACTTATTTATTATTTTGGTTGACAATAAAGAAGGAGAGGGGGAAAAAAAAAATTTATTAAAAAAAAAAAATTTATTTTCAAATTTTTTTTTGATAACGCGCGCGTTATTTTTTTTTACTCGGTTTTTTATTATTATTATTTTTTCGCACTTCCCTTCACCATAGAGAGAGAGAGAGAGAAAGAGAGAGAGCGTACTGATTTCGCGGCGAACGGCAACTTAATTGCTTGAGTCTCTCGCGAGCGTAACGAGATTTCAGGGGGAGTGCTCGGCGTCGCGACGACCCGGGCGAAGCTCTATGAACCCTGGTGCCGGGCTCCTGTGGCACTGTCCGCGCCCGCCCGGGATCCGCGCAAGCGTTCTCCTACTTTACGATCCTCTCACAGTTTCTCTGCTTTCCCACCCTTTCTCTCTCTCTCTCTCTCTCTCTCTCTTGCTCTCTTACTATCTCTCTCCCTCATTTTCTGTCTCTCTCTCTCTCTCCCTCACTTTCTGTATTTATCTTATTCTTTTGAGAGAGAGAGAGAGAGAGAGAGAGAGAGAGCGAAAACGTTAGTAGGAGAGAGAAAGATAGGGATGAAGAGAGAGACACTCTCTCTCTCACTCTCTTTGCTTAGTTTGCCTTCTCAGTCGCACCGTTGCTCCTATTATTTGTTTATCTCATGAATTAGTACTTTCAACCCCGATTGATTGAACTCTGCACTTTATAAGACGTTTTTCAATCACCTGCGAAGGATGCCATACCGTATTCCTTTTGCGCCTTCTGGTATACACAAAGACCATTGACTCACCTTTATTCTTCATCTCTCTTTCTCTCTCTCTCTTCTTGCTTTCACTTTGTATTATTGCAATTATAATCAAAGTCCTACAATTTATCAACTTTTCAACAAGTATTTCAATTTAACTTTGAATTAAATAAAATACTCGTTATATAGTAAAAAAAAAAAAACAATGGGGGTTTTGCGGGTAAAACTTTCCTGAATTGAATATTACAATATTGTATATATATTTGACTATGGAAATGATTACCTTAATCATTAATTAAATCGAAAGCATGAATTTTTTTTAAGGTTATGTGTTCGTATTTAATGTGTTTTGACCTAATTTTAAAAACACTGGAAAAAAAAATTATTCTAAAATGAAATAAGTTTGTTCATTCTATGTTATTATTTGTAAAATTAATAAAGAAATCACTAAGAAGGAAAAAAAATGAATTATATAATAAACTACGATTTCAAATTTTCGCGGCAAATAAAAATATCGTACATTGAAAACGTGGCTTAAAGTAATTCGGGAAATTGGGTTGATTTCCATTCTTGTACCCACTCGCCACACTTGCAAAAAGTAGTATCTTATTTTAAGATGTTTTGGTCGTCTTTTTAAAATATTTTTTTACAACTTGCTTCTAAGTTATACCAAAAATATCTTAAAATCCATTAGTTTCTTAAGATATAAGAATATGAATAGGAAGATATACTATTGGTAACTTGCTTTCAATGTGTCTTATATAATAAGATACTTTTTTTTTGCAGTGCATTTGTCATAATTCTCATCAACTACCGCACCTTGCTCTAGTGAAAATTTTTGTAACTTTTAATTTTAACAATAAAGTCACTAAATTTTCACTAGAGCAGGGTTGCGGTAGTTGATGAAAATTATGGTAAATTGGAATTTTGGCGAGTTAGGACAAGGCAAACAACGTTTTTCATATAAAATTTTAATGCAATTGTAATATGTGCCATATAACCTAAAAAATTATATCGAGAGAAATATAATTTTTGACTTTGTGTTTTTTTTTGAGGCTATTTTGGGTCAAATTTGGATGTTTTTTGAGGTTATTTCAAAATCCTGACGAGATGTGTGCCATTGTAATAAATAATAAATGTAAGTTTCATTTTAATATCAGTAGTTAAAAACAGTTACAGTCAGACAAAACCCGTGTAGAAATGTCCCTAAGCTTGCTGAGATCCCGTTTGAATTCTAAAAAGGCAATTCAAAACTAGAAAAATCTGATTAAGCCCTTACTAAATTCTAGCCAGAAATACCTCGAATTGGACTTAGATTATTTTTCGATATTTTCTTTATTTAAAATAAGAATTTAATTATGTTCAATAAGGGACACAAATATTTTTAAAATGTTCGTTTTAGAAATATGTAATTATAAAAAGAATAAATATTAATAATAATAAATTATAATAATAAAATTATTAAATAAATTAAATTTATTAATAAATACCACCGAGTGATAGAATCAAAATAATATTATTAATAAATTACATTATTATATATAGTTTCACTTTTTATTTAATTTAAAAATAATATTTAAATTTAAATCGAAAATATTGAAATCGATGTATCGAAGTTTTCAATATATCGATGTTCCATCGTCGAGAATGTTGACATGAATGGTGCAAGTGCACATGTCATTTTGTGTGAACCTGAATTTTATTGTTCTTTTGTTAATTAATAATGGAAAATAATGAGAGGAAAAAAAAGCAATCGCGAATGCGTAGCAAACAATATCTTGAGGTGAAATCCGTATGCGTTGAATTAAATAGAATGCAATATGTTCAAGAGCAAGTTATGGATATTAACAATTTAGATGACTCAAATCACTTATCTTCTTTATCAGAAGGTAAATATTAACATAATATTATCAATTTAAGAATATTTAATATTAAGCCAACAGACATGAAATATGTACTTAGAATATTAAAAGTAAAAAATATATTGATTGGTTTTCTAACCTCAAATGTTGTCTTTATGTTAATATCATTATTGCAAAATTTTAATTTTTACTATGATTATTCCAATTTCTTCATGGAATATTATGATTTATAACTTTTTTATTTATAATTCTGGTTAAAATTTGTGTTAGTACTGTTTGGAGGTTAGGAAGTTCAATTAAACGGGCGTTTTTAATTCTACAATTTCAAAAACACACACGGAAGAAAGGACGTTGGATCTTTATATAAATATGTTTTTTGGATTTATTAAATATTTATTAATTTTTATTTAATAATAATCGATTAAAGGGAGCTAATAGGGTTCTAGCGAGAACCCTTTACTCTTGGTAGGGAAATCGCAGGGATATCCCTGCTAGATCCCTACCAACATTCCTCGCTGGCGTCGATCGTGACGAAAAATGCCGGGTCCCGCCTAGAGTTTCTCTTTCGGAACCCATCTGGCAAAAGGTACGCACAGCGAGGTCCCTATTAAAATCTCACTCAAATTTCTGCACGGAAAAGTATTAAAAATTTACTGCCAGTAGTAGTTGTAGTCAATTTTAATCAGACATTTCTATTTCTTTATTTATACCATAGCAGTAGTAAAATACAGTTATAGTCAGACACATGTTAAAATTTAATTACAGTTTTTCTCACATTAAAAGATAAAAAATATAATTTCTATATAGTTTTGAAATTTTTGTATAAGTAGTAAAATTGAATTTGAGTAGAGTTTTGGTAAATTTTAGTAACAGTAGTAAAACTGTTACAGTCAGTCAAAAATTTCAAAATTATTAACATTTTATTATTAATGATAAGAAGGAATTTTCCTAATAACAAAATATTTTCTAAGTTTTTTTTTTTAATTTTTGGTACTAGTAGTAAAAGTCTGTTAAAGTATTCCCAATTTTATTTTGAATTCAGTAGTAAAGTACTATTTATCAGACGGGACAAAATTCTAAGTAACTATTAAGATTTTAATGTCAGTGATTAAATAACAGTTTTCACTTAGACAGAATATTTATGAGGTCTTGAAATTTTTAGTACTAGTAGTAAAAGTAAGTTTCAGTCAGTGTGCGGACTTGTAAAATTCATTCAATGATATTATCAGTAAAGTAAAAGGTAGTGATAATCAGACAAATAAATAACTGAAATTAAAAAAAAAACAGTTTTCGTGGAGTTTCCCTAATGAGATAACCATTTCTAAGGTCCTGCAATTTTCGCGCTAGTTAAAGTTCGTTTCAGTCAGTCACAACAATTTTATGGTCCTTTTATTTTATTACCAGTAGTAAAAGTCAGTATCAGTCAGACTTAACCAAATTCTTTTAATTATAATATAAGTAGTAAAAGGCAAGATTAGTCAGACGGAATTTTGTCATTTTTATAGCTGCTGTAAAAAGCAGTTGCATTTAGACAAAAAATTTTGAAAATTCTAAAAGCTTTAAAAAATCACTGTTTTTATGAATTGTAATTTTGGCAGTAGTAAAAGACAAATTATAACCTGATAAAAAATTTTAAATTATTAAACAACAAATAGAAAAAAAACAAATTTCTACTATTTTCTACCAAGTACTACTTTTAGATAACGTAAAAATTTACTTTAAAAAAAAAAAAAAAATTTGCTTCGCGACAGTTACACAACTTGTAATATATATTATTGTTTGTGCAAAATTTTCAAATGCAATTTTTTTACGAATGTTCTTGTCGGTTTTAAAAATTTTATAAAGATTATATCTGACTCTCAGTGATATATATAATTTATATTTACACATAAAACCAAATGATACATTAAATTTATTGAATTATATAGAGAATTTACTAACTTATAATATATGCCCAGACCCTATGTTTATCTTACGAAAAAAAAAATGTTAATGTCACACATTTAACTTTTCTCCAGCGTAAATAATTTCTCTTTAAGCATAGACAAAATAATTTCCATAAGAGCAAATAGTAATTAAATTACAAGTTTTATTCGATAAACCATCCTGATGAAAGGTCAACTGGGGCGTTATTAAGTAAATGAAAAAAAGTTGACGACATTGAATGAAGTTAAAATATTTAAGCTCACATTTTCTTTATATGTCCTTAACACATATAAATGACAATGATGTATCGCTGTTTATTTTTCTATTATATGCACAATGAATTAGTATAGATATAATTGTATGATTAGTTTATTCAAATTATTTTAATTTTTTTTTTCGCTACGTTTTATTATATTATTATATAATTATATTATTATATGATTATATTAATATATTTTTATACTATTATATAATTATTTACTATATTACTTTAGTGTTATTTTTATTATTATTATAATTATAATAATTATTATTATTATTATTATTATTATAGTTTAGGTATTATTAGCTATGTTAATAGAATTTATTATTTAAATGAATGCATTGAAGAAGGAAGACGAAGAAGAATAAGAAGATGAAGAGGCTATTGACAAATTCAACATTCAAACAACTAATGTTTTCCCAATTTAATTCTCATTTTGTTTCAAAATGAATTTCAAGGAAAATGAAACTTCAAGACAAATGAATTCATCATGAAAATTTCATTTGTTTTCCATTATTCAAAATGAGAGACTGTGCGA